CGAATGCGCCAGTGGTTCGGATGATGCAGCAGTGGGCTTCGAGGCCTGACACTAGCCTCTAAATGCATTGCTAAAGGCTTAGGTTTCTGTCTACCTTGGTCGCCCTTATTGAACCACCTAACCTTTCCAGTCTTAACTCCTTCCAGGGTAGTGATCGATCTGGTCAACTTTTATGGAATCTCCACGGATCTCATCAAATATTGCCGTCGTTTTATACGATCTTGCTCTGCGAACTTCAAAAATTTAGCTCTTAACATTACTGCCGTATACGTACAGCCATACAATGATATGATCACATTCGTTAACAGTTATCTTAATTACGACCAGTTCAATGTACAAATAATCTATCGTAAAACAATTCGAGCGAAATAGAAAAGAAGATACGCAGAAGCAATATCGCTGACATGAGAACATAGAAACTTATGCCGATGGATCGGATTTACGAAAGCCTAACTATTTTCTACATATCATTCCAATGGTCAACTGAAGTGAAATGCTTGATGTGTATTGCTATGATATGAAGAGTACTTCAACAGTAAGGAAGGCGATATTGTTGCATGGATAAGGTGGAGGGCCTTTCGCGGGAATGAGAAAGGAAAGTGAACCGGAACCCATACGGTGTAAGAGCACAACATTGCACACAGGTGGTTAATCGATAATATAAAAGGGGATGATAAGTCCAGTACGAGGTAAAAAAAAATGTTATAAACAACACTCACGAGTTAAATTGTCTAGAAAGAAAAAAATAATCATAAAGCAAAAATGGCCTCAAGAAACACTTTGCACCGAATGGGTGATTCACACAAACAACATGCGTAAGCTACTAATGCGACAGAAAGGATTTTCGACGACACACGCGATATCGGATTGGAGCTCTGCGTCGCCATCACTCTCTGCAGCAGGCTCACCCATTGATTGCATTCCTCCTTTGTCAACGCCATCAATAGCCATTCTCGAACAACACCAGTGTCTAAAATAATTAGATAGTTTTATATGTATAGGCTTTATCCAACCTATAAAAGAAAGTCGCCAACTTCATTGTTCCCGTTCAGCCGTATAGGATTCGAGCTACTTGTCTATACATATGCATTGTAGCGCATGACGCGTTTAAGGGCATATTCCGCGGACGCCTTAGCGTGGTTATTGCGCTCAAATATGAACGCAGAGGTGGTAAGCGAACCGTCAATGAAAAAAAAAACAAGAAATCGCTGAAAACATGGACAGTGACTCTCTTCTTTAAAACAAGGTCATCTACAAAAAGCCACACTCGGGACGCATAAAGACATTGGGCACATAGGCAAGAGAACAGACTAGGAGAGATGAGGCAGCATAGAGAACAAGTGAAAGACGGGCACAAGCTTCTTCGCAAGAACAGGCACTGGTGCATGGAAAGCGCACTGATTCAAGCTTAACATCTGGCGCAATGCCACACGTTTCACCTCAAGATATGCAGAGCCAGTATAGAGTTTTATGAATCCTCTGCCTTGTTTAGAGGAGGTATGGGTAACTCCCTATCGCGAAATGGGCCTCTAACGAACCAGCTAGCACAGGAGCATGGTGTGCCCATCACCTTATGAAAATCAACTCACATTTACAAACAGTCAACTGTGGTGTATTGACGTGATCTTTATGAATCTTCAACCGGCAGTCTGAAAAGAAGAATGCAGTAGAATGAAACAGAAGTGAGCCAAGTAGGCGGGGCGGAAATGGGATGGGCTCTTGACTTACTTTTGCATTCATAAGCTGGTGGCGGTCGGACGAGATCGGAGAGCTTCTTGCTACAGATATCACAGTAAGTGCTCATATGGAAAGTCAACTCTTGGAAGTCGTGGCTCTTCCATGACTCCTACGATGAAATATATGTAAGGAAATGGTAAAGAGTACGGCACAATGATCAGTGCAAAAGGCACATCGACTGAACATCAAGAATCCGTCTTGCTTACATCTTTCTGTGAAGCCGACGACACGCTTAGGTCATTAGTTGAGGCATTCCGACTTGTGGAACCACTGTCGCGATCATCAAACATGATCTAAAGATAGCTATTATCATCAGAAAAGGTTTAAATTTGTGGAAGTAAAACCAGATATGGATGGAAAAGCTGTTCATAACATTTTTGTGCGAAACCACTGAAACCACAGCTATTTCACTAACGACATTTTAAAGGCGATAATCCGCCAGTGAAACAGGAAAATGCTTCTTTTTTAAAGAACACAGCAACTCACGTGGAATATCCTCCGTATTTGTTCAGCATCAGCAACACGGACATCAGCGGCGGTAACCAAGCGAACATGACACAATTGGCTAAAATAATCAATACAGAATGAAAATGGTGACAACGAGCAACATTGAGTACTCGATAGGAGTTACTGCACGCTACACGAAAAGTGGGTGACATAATAAAATGAGTGAAGATATATCGTCCTCTTTATCGAGGGCTATATTGCAACATAGCTGGACAGGACAAAAGAACAACAGAGAAAACATAAGAGAACACTAACATTCAGAAAAAGAAATGGTGAATGAAGTATCTCCCAAAAGAAGTCGTTATTTATTACGAGGCTATACTGCCCACACAGCTGGGGAGAGAAAATTTAAAAGCACTAACATTCTAAAAAAAAATAAATGAAGTATCTCCTGAGAAGAGTTTCATGAATTAACAAACCGGGTATCTATCGACATGACAGCAGCGGAATGTGGCTTCTCGTCAGGGAACAACTGGAAGGCGACGGCGTTCAGCACAGCGTAGTAGTTGACCCACTGAATACTCTTCTCATTTGTTTTAATCCTTCATTCAATTCGAGTACTTTCACGTTACCTTCATTTTCCTACTTCCAGCGCTTCGCTTCTCCGGTTTCATTGACACCCAACCGGTGTGCGGAAGATTGCGTATGGCATGCGGTATACTGTCACGTGAATCAACTGATCTGAAACAATGGAATGAGGCAACGAATGACCTTCAGAAACCATGACTCACCGTGTCTCATCTATCGTGCCATCCCGCCTTCGCTTTACCTCGTCCAACTCTTCTTTTGAGTTCCTTCACTTCCATTCTTAACGCATCGTTGTCGTTTGTTTCCTCTTCAACTTCCTCTTCCAACTCCCTGGTCATGTCTGTCATCATTCGCACCTTATCACTGTACACCTCGTCAAGCTGAATTCCAAGACGGCGAGTTTCTTGTTGGAGGTGGATCTGGAATTAGATAATAAGCTCAAGCTCATAGTAGCTATCGAAATAGATTGAGCATGACTACTCACGATTTCGCGATCTTTCTTCAGCAGATCAGCCTTTGTGATGTGCTTGCCTCCCTTCTTGTCGACTCGCTTCGCCATTTCTTCCTCAAGCTTCACGATAACAGCCTCTTTTGTGCGCCTTTTCGAGGTCCAGCTTTCTAAAAATCCGACTGCTTTTAACTGTTTGCAATCATATCAATATGGCAACACACCTCTTCAAGTCAGCAATCACCGCTTCAGCTTCTTCGATCTCCGCTGCTTTTTCATTGAGATGGGTCATTGAACGCGATAGTTCCAACTCCGATTCTCTTTCACTCAAAATGGCTATCTGCATGTCCTTGGCTTGAATCTCCTCAAAACGGTACACTATGAGGCTTCAAAGATAAGGTATGCAGATCACCAATAGAATTTCACAAATGGAAAGCATAGAACAAAATTTCGAAGAGATACCTTTTCATGGCGAGCAACAAGCTGCTTAACTTCCTCTTTCAGCATAGTCTTTTCCTTGTCAAACTCATTCACATTCGTCTCAGCGATCTGCCTTGCCAAGCGCTCATTTTCGACAAGGTTTTTGTACTGATCAGCGACTTTTCTGCAATAAAGCATAGGTGAGTTGTATATATACAAGGCAAAAAAAAACGAAACCATGTATACTATATTCAACTAGGCGTTCTCTTGATCTTCCAAATGAGCTACCTACACAAGGCAAAACAGCTTAATTTCGAAACAACAGGTAGGCGCCGAAAAACTTACTCCAATTCGATAACGGAGTTCCTGAGCAATTTCTCACGGTCTTCAGCGTGTTCATGAGCCATCTTGATTTCGCTCTGATACAAGCTCTGAAAACAGGAGAAAAATCAAAGCTTTTCTGCGATACAGTCATCTCTTCTCATGATTCTCAAATGACATCAAAAAAATTGGTGCCTTACAATGCACTGCTGATCCCTGTTTTGTTCTTCTTGGATGTTGCTCAATCGGTATTCCAAACTACAGTTTTCCTGCTTCATCACTTCCAACCGGACTTCATAATCTTGCAGCTCGCGTTTCAGCTTCATATTTTCCTAAACGGACTACATATACTATTTGACTGAGGGGGAAGCCTACGCTTTTCGAAGCTTGTGGCTTTATGTTGGTTTTCGACGATTTTGGTGCCATTGGGAACACCGCAATCGGTAGCACAATTCGATATAAGCCAGCTAGTATGTTTGTTCTAAGGAGTTTGTACGGGAGCGAAAAATTTATTGAAGCTGCGGAGGAGGATCACTGCATACGAAGTAAGTCATCTTTTTGCTGCGTGTGAACTCTAAATTGAAACAAATACATAAATCCTGCATAAAAGCATGTACAACGACGAACGGGCTCTCGAATGAAATTATAATTGTCGCTATGGCTGGCAAAAGCCGTAGAAGAGCCACTTGCCAAAAACGGCGGATTATTTTCGTTTAATCTAATAAAACAGATGAAGCAAAACCGCTAAAACATACTTCGGCAGGTATCGCTCATTCGACGTAATTCCAGCCAGTTTCTTCGCCACATTAGTCAATTCGGCTTGAGCATCGGACTTCTTTTTCGTTTCTTGATAAAGTTCACGACGAAGCTGATCGACCTAAAAACGATATTAGTACGACCGATAACTCATTATCGAGTCTCGGGTGAATAAAAACGATATTGGATCAAAACTACGAATAGAACGCGGTACCTGCTTCATAGTTTGTTCCAACCTCTTTTCCATTTCCATTTCGGACTGTTTGGCAAGCGAAAGCGACTCCTGATTAAAGAATTTTTTTATAAAATTTATTGAAATCAATACTCAGCAAAATCGCTACTGTGCCTTGCTGGAATTAGACAATGAATGATCCCAGACCTGGAAAATGCCATTTTCCTTCCTATCCTCGAGTGCCTTTTTCAGCTTTCTCGTGAGCTCATCCTCTTTCGTGCTCTGGTCAGAAATCTTCAATCGTAGGGTCTCAATTTCTCGCTTTTGATCCTAAAAACGTGTATGGAGAAGCGAAAATTTGTTTGTGACTTAACGCTGCAAAATTTACCCCAATAGTCATAGCCTGCCTTCGACTAGCTTCCTTCTCTTCGGCGAGTTTATTGAGCACCTCACGCACCTCGAGTTTAGCAGCCGCCTCGTCTTCGCGAGCCTGTAAAAGATGCAGAGGTGAGCACTGCAGAGTTATGATTCATTGCTTTCACGAATAACGTGCAGCAGACTGGTTATTAGGAGATTAGGAGAGGAACCTTGGCCAGTTTTTCCTCGAGACTGCGCACGACTTCGCGTTGAACTCGCAACTCCTGTTCCATCCGCCTATCATTGGCTGACTCCGACAGCTGCCTCAGGCGTTCTTGCATTTGCACCATTTCGTTTTCAGTAATCCGCAAATTTTCGGTACACCTGCATAGGGACTGCTTCAAACGATTGGCATGAAAGACAAAAAGTACAAAATAAACGTACCGAGCGACGTCGCCTCCAATTTGCGAATGGTTTCCTCCTTTTTACCCGTCTCTTCGAGCTGGGATCGTAGCTTCTTTTCAGATTCGAGAAGAGCTGATTTCGCCGCTGCGAGCTGACTATTCACTTCCTGCAAAAACTGGATGCGATTGCAATAAAATTACAGGTAGACAGTTCCATCAGAAGCACGAATTCAATGGAATTGGAGCTCGATTCGATACAAAGCAAACCTCAAATTCGCTATCTGATATTCCATTTGATATTGACGGAGCTTGTTCCTTGGCTACTGTGTTAATGGGTGGATTAGAGCCAGTCGCTTCTTGGATTTTCAAGATAGGGCTGGAAGGAAGTGCTAGTTGGCTAGCAAACTTCAATATGATCCTACACAAATGAAAAGAAATGAATCATGGAACAAAAAATGTGAAATATTTTGAGACGGATTTAGAAGCATGTTAATGACTGCCTCTGATGATGTGAAATATACGTAGCCAAATAAAAAAAGTAATTCAAAGTTTCATATTGCTCACCTCAACTCGTTCGAGTAGGTGAAGCCAATGAATGGTAGTTGATTCCCAATAAAAGTCTTTGGGAGCTGGAAGGACTCATTCATGGGTTTCGCTTCAATGTCCTGAAATTGATTATGTTAAGTAATGACAAGGCAAAGCACATTTGAAAGACCATGATTATTCTAGGAAAGGATAAGGAAGTATAAGGATGTCCTAACACTGACCTCAAAATGAGTAGTGTCATCATCGCCTTTCAACTCGGGAATGACCGGAGGAGTAGCTGGAAATAATTCAAATTCAAGCAGCAAAAGGAACATAGTGCAATTATTAAGCAATGGTAACAAGTACCATTACGAAGAGTCTCAAACGTCCATTCATCATTCTTGAAGAATGGGTGTGCTCGAATTGCGTCTACTGATTTTCCCAGCCTGACGTCGGCTGACGAGAGGAACTTCCTTATGAGATCCTAAAACAAATGTAAACTTTCAGGAAGGAACGATTTTATAACGTGTTCACAGGAATAGCACAGAACCTTTGCATGTGCTGAGATCGCAGGTTCATCAGGGAAACGGAGACTATTTTTGTGATCCATGATGTTAGAGTAGGTCGACACCAAGGCTTCCGCAAAGAATGGTGTTTCACCAATCAACATTTCATAAATGAAAACTCCAACTGCCCTGAAACATGATGACTGAGACAGGACAGAGAACAAGAGAAGAGAAGTAAAAGTAGAATGAGAAAGTGTAGCCCTTGTAAAACATACCACCAGTCCACTTCGGTGCCAAACTCAGCTTCTTTACCCTGATTTTGCAAAATTTCAGGAGCAATGTAGTCTGGTGTACCAACGGCTAAAAGTGAACTAGATTACTACACGATACCAAAAAGCTTCACATCATGGTGAAGCACAACAGAAACCAAAAGCAAACATGGCAACTTGGATACAAGTAAAAAATTTTACCTGTCGAGCACTTGATGACTCCATTTTTGTTCATTTTCACGCAAGTACCGAAATCGGCAAGTTTTATGTGACCACTTCGAGAGATCAACATATTATCTGGCTTAACATCTCTAGAAATAAAAAAAAACTAGCTTTTTGACCAGTCAAGACAACTTGCAAATGTGGGATAAATCAACTCACCTATGAATGTAACCCATCGAATGTAGCG